GGAAATATTCTCGTAGTGAAATCCAGAACTGAAAGCTAACCGTATTTTTCAGGAAAGTCATATAGTGTCCAATTATTCACATGATTTTTAAAAGTCCCCCCTCTATATATAAACGTTTTCTATTACTACTGCTGTAGCAATCCTTATCATAGAAAACGCTATTTCAATACTAAGGGCGTCTAAGAAAGGTGTAACTAATGTATTCTTAATAATACACCTACGCCCAACCTGCAAAAGATCGGATAACAAATCGTCAGTATCTGGGCTTATTTTCAGAATTTTAAAATATCTCTACAAGGTCAAAGGTCAATTATTAGTAACACATGGCCTTAACACGTCTAAAATTGCGTAAGGTCACTGCACTCGTTGGTAGGATCACAGCTGACGTCCATGACTTGCTATTCACGACCCTGGAGAAAACTAGCTTCACAAATCCTGGCGAGAAGTAGACGGAGAGGCAGAATGGAGAATCAGCATAGAGTATTGGCCGGTCACGTGGACGAGGCTCTTGGTGCAGCCTCTGAATTCCTCGGGAATCTCTTCGGGCTGTATAATTCGCCCAACTAATATTGCCTGAAATGTACATGGCGCTGCCTTAGTTCATTGGCGAGTGTTTGTTTGTGTGTGTGTATGTGTGTTTTAGTGTGTGTGTGCGTGCATGCGTACGTGCGTGCGTGCGTGCGTGTCTGCTTGCTTATGTATATGCAAGGTATATATAAGTAGTTTATATAGACCTTGTGCGTGCGTTACCTCTGTGTGTGTACGCATATGTGCTTATTTCATATCCACAACAAACTCGCACTCACAGCTAACAATACTAACATAAATTCCTCTCTCCGTCCTCCTCCACATAAACTACACACTTCCACACGAACCAGCCCAGCCACTTCTTACCTTGGGGCGCTGAGGGTATAGATCACACAGGGGATGAAGCACCTTGTTCATCTTCTCGCCCGGGGCCAGCACTAGGTCGACGTGGGGGCTGTCGATCGCCATCAAGAGAGATGCTAGGCTCAGGCACTGCTCATGTTTCGTATTCTTTGAAGAGAACATTAGGGATGAAATGTACATGCAAAGAATGTATATATATTTATATGTTATAAACATATATACGCACACTCAGGTGCACACACACATACACATACAAACCATTATCAAATCTAAGAAATATCTATGATTTTTCACTTTTCATCAACTTGCAAAGATACAACTCAAAGACCCCCCTAAAATGCAAAATAGAATTGCGCGAAAACCCACCACGTATGGTATACTCGGCGTCAAACAAGCGTGCGTATGCCACAGGTTCGAAACCACCGATGGCGCTGGATTCTGCCACGGCTGAGGGTCTATCCAGATCCCTGTCGCTCTTTTGGACAGTTCCTTCACCAGTTCGAGGTTGACGCCCACCATCGCCACCAAGAAGTTCACGGCACCGATCTGTGTGGAAACAAGATGTAATCACTCACCTTCCCCCTCGTTATCTCGCGATTTCTTTCATTCGCCTGGTTCGTTCTTTCCGTCATCTCCACCTCAATTCCACCCATCACCTTGCATACCATTTCTTTTAACCACCTCATTCGTCACTTCTCTTGTCTACCTCATCTCATTCTCTCCCTCAGTATACATCTTACCCGTCTTACTGCCCCCCTCAGAACCTCAGCATCTCCCTCACCACCTCCCTGCTGTCATTATCTCCCTTACTATCCCCAACATCACCAATCTCACTCCACTCACCAGCTCCTCACAACGTCACTCGCCATCCCTATCACCAACTCATTCTCCACTTTTCCTTCATTATCTCCCTCGTCATCATCGCATCTCATTCACCACCTCCCTCACGTCACTCACCACCCCCACTCACCACCTCTCTCACACCAGTCCCCAACCCACCCCACTCACCACCTTACCCAACACCCCACCCCCCCTCACCACCTCTGTCACACCAGTCCCCAACCCACCCCACTCACTACCTTACCCAACACCCCATCCCCCTCACCACTCTCTCACACCAGTCACAAACCCACCCCACTCACCACCTTACCCAACACCCCACCCCACTCACCACCCCCACTCACCCTCTCTCTCACACCAGTCACAAACCTACCCCACTCACTACCTCCTCCTTCAGCTTACCGTCCTATTCACAGCCTCCAGTACTTCGACCTCCACGCCCTCCAGGATCGGCGGGATGTCCTGCACGTGAACAGGTGGCCGCAGGAACTCATCCTTGACCAGCTGGAGAAGCTGAGGGTCGTCCCATAGAGGGGGTCCTTCCAACATCTCTTGAAAGCAGGTATCAGCTTCGTGTTGTGGAGGTGGGGCGACCGGGGGGGGGGAGATTTTTTTTTTTTGTGATTGTTGTTATTTAACTTGTTATTGTGTTTGCATTACTGCCTTTCTCATCACTATCATCTATTTTTTTCTAACCCCTATTATCATTAGTTTTATATTTCTACTATATTATTTTCGTCATTATTACTACGTTACCATTACTGTTCTCATCATTATTATTATAAACAGGACCCTCACCAATAATATAAATATCACCATTATTACAATAAAACAAAGAGTAAATTTACATACTTAACAAACTTACAAACTTAACATTAAACTTAATAAACTTACAAACTTAAATTCAAACTAAAGGAAACTTACAAACTTAACCTCAAGCCTAAGCAAACTTACAAACTTAACTTCAAACTTAACAAACTTACAAACTTAACAAACTTAACAAACTTACAAACTTAACAAACTTACAAACTTACAAACTTAACAAACTTACAAACTTAACAAACTTACAAACTTACAAACTTAACAAACTTACAAACTAACAAACTTAACAAACTTACAAACTTAACAAACTTACAAACTTAGATTCAAACTTAAGCAAACTTACCTGATGGATTTTCACAGGTTGGCCGAGATACGCTAGCAGATTTTCTTGTTACCATCATCCACATTAACAAGCCAGCAAATCCCAGGATTATGGCCAGCGCGAAGACAAATCTGCGAGGAAGTGGTAGGTTTTATTTTCATTTATATTTCTATAATCATTATATATTTTTTTTTGTAGTTTGTGTGTGTTTTACGTGCGTGTGTGTGCTTATTTACCTAAATATTCATAAGAATAAGAATGGTAATGATAGTAAATCCACACATAAACACACGCAATTATATATGTACATACAAACACACACACACACACATTCATATATACGGACATTCATATATACGCACACGCACACATTCACACACTTACACTCGCGGTATATATGTGCACGTGTGTACGTTCTTGTAGGTATGTAAATATGGAAAATCAAGAACTTAAATAATTTCTTCGTTAACGTCAACATCACTCAAACTTAATACTCACTTCCAGCGGACGAAAGTGCTTCTCCCAACGTTACCCATCGTAAATGTATCTTTTTTCACACCCAGGCTTCCTTTTTTTATATATAGTCGTAAATCTCCGGTACAGCAATGCACAAAAAGGAATTTGGCAGCAAATTCTAGAAATCCCGTCTTCTCTTTTTATCCATGAACTTCACTTCCAACAGTTCCAGCATTACCAGCACAGATGCTTTAGCACTGCGTAAAAATCGCACGCTCATATTTTGTTATTTTCCTTGTTTCCATTTCGGGACGATCGCCACGCGATATTTTCTTACCGCTTTTCCTTGTTTCGTTTTCCTTCCATTGTTTTTCATTATGTATCACTTATCCCTCTATTTTTATATCCGTACAGTTAACTATCAGCTTATTTTAAAGGTCCATTGGCTATGGTATTACTTTTAATAATTACAATTTTTTATACTTCATTGAGATACCAACATAAGTGAATATCAGAGCTATAACGGCAAGGCACTCTGATTTCCCATAAATTAATTTTACGTATATGCTGGGGAAACATATCAACACAATCTATTGTTATATAACATCATCATAAAGGACAGACAAACACCTTACTTCAACGACTAACAGTTCGATATCGTAGCGACAATTTTTTTTTTTCTTGTGGTATGTAGGAACTATAGGAATCATCAATAGATCGAGGACACATTATATATGTATACGTATATATATATATATATATATATATATATATATATATATATATATATATATACACGTATACATATATATATATATATATATATATATATATATATATATATATATATATATAATACACACACACACACACACACACATATATGCACAAACACACACACATACATATATATAAATACATACATATACATATACACACATATAACATACATGAACAAACATATACACGTATATATATATATATATATATACATACATATACACATATACATTTATATATATATAGACATACATATACACACATATAACATATATGCACACACATACACACACATATATATATATACATATATACACATAAATGCGTTTTCATACGCACATACACAAACACACACACGCATACATATATATGTATGTATATATATACGTATATATATACACTTATGCATATATATTTATATAAATATAGGCTTACATTCTTACGACGCAACTGGTGCCAAAGCGTATCGGTCTGTGTCGTTCCTTTGGATCCATCAGCTGCGTGGAGGGAGAGAGTTTTGTTCCTCACATTCTTTTACCCATTCATTAACTCTTTACCTATGCGGGAGTGGGTAGAGACAATAATGCCATAGTCGACTTTGACTGAAGGTGGCCTTCAATAAACACACGTACATGAACATATCTACATATATACACACACATACATATATACATATATATATATATATATATATATATATATATTTATATGCATATATTTACACATACACGCACACAAATATATATAAGTATTTACATACATACAGTATATATGTACATACACAGACACATATATGATATATTATATATACAAATGTGTGTGTGTAAATGTGTATGTATGGATGAGTTTGGATAATGTTGAAAATGAACAGGTGAGAGAAATACGAAAATAATAAACTAAATGAATTTAATTTCACTAGAAGTAAAATACATATCACATGGTCAATGAAAAATGAATCTATCCTTGGTAAGGTTGCTGGCAGCAGTAGTACTTGTTGGTATAACTGCTCTTGCACCAGTACTTGCACGTGTTGTATCCGAGCACGGGCCTTTGGTCGTAGAAGCTGTAACCAGGCACAAGACCAGGGTAATGAGCGGTGTTGAAGGATCCGGCGCCGTGGATGCCAGAGCCTACGAGTCCTACGCCATGGACACTACCTCCGTGAACAGCTCCGAGACCACCGCTGTGAACACCACCAAGGACACCTCCGTGGACACCACCGAGTACTCCACTGCCGTGGACAACAGGTCTGTGTCCCCCAATGCCGTACGTACTGTGTCCAGCAACTGCTGCAATGAGGCACAGAGCCACGAAGAGGGAGGTCACTGCTACGTTACGAGCCATGCTGAAAAGAAAAATTAATGTTAATTTTAAATCTAAAATTATATATGATCAGGTCTGAAAAGATTTATAACCATACCATCGCACCTACTCTGGATTGACATTTGATAAAATGAATGCGCTTATTAGAGAAGTGACTTACTTGGACTTCAGCTGGAAGCTGCACTTTAAACATTCATTTACGGTGCCTCCTTATATATTTGCCGCATCGCCTGCCCGCTCTCGCCCAGGGAACTCCAGGCAAGGTGTTGCCACCATAATTTTTTTCCATTAAAATGAACGTATTTCGTAAGTAATCGTTCATATCGGAAAAAAATAATATGTTCGAGTTCCAAAATGAAGCTTTCTGTAAGCAATTTAATTTCCATCGTTATATAACAAATAATTGAATGTGGGAAGAATTGGCAACATTTGATGACGTCAACAAGGATTTCAGGTGAATAGCTTGGTCTGGAAAAGTCCGCCCGCTTATCAGATTTTCCCACGAACTTCTCATCTGTAATTGAGCCATAAACATTACATTATCTGTCTGGATAGATACATAACATAATAGATAGATGAAAATAGATAGAGACAGATAGGTAGATAAAGTGATAGGTAAATAGACAGATAGAAGAACAGATGGAGAGAAATTTAAAGTTCCCCGTTAGAAATGCCCGGAAAGCCCATAGCACAAAAAACCTTCTATAGCACTGCCTTAGGTGCTACTTTCGGCAAATATTGATCACCAGAGAGGGTAGGGACTGAGGTACTGGAGAAATAGAGCAATTAAGTCACCTATATTATTATTTTTTCATGTAACACTGATGGATCTACTTTTGTTTATATATAAAATTGTTATGAGTACTTGGGTAACTTTACGCAGATAAAACCTTTGCGAGTACAATAAATACAATTTATAAGCTCTCCGAGCTTTTACAAAGTAAAAAAGAAAAACAAATACTGTAAAAAGACAGCCATGAACACAATCATACATTAATAGTAACCTCAATGTCTAGTAAAAGTTCATGTATTTGTAACTACTATTTTGAGTCGCGAATCTAGTTTGTTTAGCCTTACTCAGAGAAGCGTTTGAAGGGAAGTCTTAAGATATTACGAAAACAACATTCAGACCTTACAGTATAATCACGTGGAAAGGAAATGAAATTAGCGTTGAGATTTAACTAAAATACTTGCTGTCACATTCATAGCTAGTCTCTTAAGCTTCATCTTATTCATGTGGTGAGAGAATTTTAATACATGTTCTTAATCAGAGAATGGAAATTTCAGTTTATGATAACATTTTAAAGATATATATTAATCTCTTAATGTTTTTTTTCAGTAATGTTAAATTCTTCAGTAACCCGATTTCCCGGTTGCAGTTAGAATGGGTAATGTTTATTGGCTGTCTTAGAAAATAAAGGAAGAAATACAGGGGGATTTTTCCGGAATTTTAATTTTAGTATAAATATTTAGTTGATGTTTTAGTGGTAAAACGAGGCAATGGGACGACCTTATCAATGAGAAATAAATTATGTTTTTCTGAATCTGATTTTGTTCTAGAGGTAAATTCATTCTTTCCTTTTATCTTTGTAACTCTTCTGATATAGTCTGCGGAATTTCAAAATCCCTTCTTCCTATCTATTACATAAAATTAATTCGGTACAGAGTATAAATGGTCACGTGAATATTTCAAGATATAAAGTCATATTGCGCGTCGTGTAACTCGCGCTTGTTTGTGCGTTTTTGTATACACATATACCAATACATTATCTCTCTATATATATTATGTATGTATGTGAATATGTGAATATATAGATGAGATTGCAGAGCATGATAAGGAAAAGAAGGAAATGATTGATAACATCAAACAAACAGAATCGTGAAAATCATTTTTATTTTTTAGAAAATAATTTCTGATACTTTAGCATACGATCAACAAATAAATACATTTCATAGAAAAATTATATGTCTATCCTTGATAAGGTCGCTGGCAGCAGTAGTACTTGTTGGTATAATTACTCTTGCACCAGTACTTGCACGTGTTGTATCCGAGCACGGGCCTTTGGTCGTAGAAGCTGTAACCAGGCACAATACCAGGGTAATGAGCGGTGTTGAAGGATCCGGCGCCGTGGATGCCAGAGCCTACAAGTCCTACGCCATGAACACTACCTCCGTGGACACCCCCGAGGACACCGCTGTGAACACCACCAAGGGCACCGCTGTGAACTCCACCAAGAACACCTCCGTGGACGCCTCCGTGGACACCGCCGAGCAGCCCACTGCCGTGGACAACAGGTCGGTGCCCGCCAATGCCATACGTGCTGTGTCCAGCAACTGCTGCTATGAGGCACAGAGCCACGAGGAGGGAGGTCACTGCCACGTTACGAGCCATGCTGAAGAGAAAAATTAATGTTAATTTTAGATTATATATGATTTGGTCTGAAAAGATTTATAACCATACCATCGCACCTATTCTGATTTGACATTTGATAAATTAATGCACATATTAGAGAAGTGACTTACTTGAACTTCAGCTGGAAGCTGCACTCTGAACATTCATTCACGGTGCCTCCTTATATACGTTGTCGCATCGCCTGCCCGCTCTCGCCCAGGGAAGTCCAGGCGAGAGCGAGTTGTTGCCAACGTTCATTTTTTTCATTAAAATGAACGTATTTCGTAAGTTATCGTTCATATCAAAAAAATCATTAGCATGTTCCAATTTGAAAAAGAAGCGTGTTTGTAAGCATTTTAATTTCCATCGTTATATAATAAACAATTGACTGTGGGAAGAATTGGCAACATTTGATGACGTCAACAAGGATTCCAGGTGAGTAGCTTGGTCTGGAAAAGCCCGGCCGCTTCTCAGATTTTCCCACGCACTTTTCATCTCTGATTGAGCCATACACATTACATTATTTAGCTGGATAGATACATAACAGAATAGATAGATGAAGATAGATACATAACAATAGATAGATGAAGATAGATACAGACAGATAGATAGACAGAGTAATAGGTTGATAGAGGGACAGATGGAGAGAAATTTAAAGTTACCCGTTAACAATGCCCGGGAAACCCATAGCACCAAAATCTTAGGTAGAAGACATTCTATAGCACTGCGTTAGGTGCCACTTTAGGCAAATATTAATCACCAGAGAGGGTGGGGGCTGAAGTACTGGAGAAATAAAGCAATGAAGTCACCTATATTACATACATTATTTTGTTCATGTAACACTGATGGATCAACTTTGGTTGATATATAAAATTATTATGAGTACTTGGGTACTTCTACGCAGATAAAACCTTTGGGAGTACAATAAATACAATTTACAAGCTCTTCGAGCTTTTACACAATAAAAAAAGAAAAAAAAATCCTGTTAAAAAGACAACCATGAACACAAACATTCATTAATAGAAACCTATATGTCTAGTAAAAGTTCATGTATTCGTAATTATTCTGAGTCGTGAATCCAGATGGTTTAGCCCTACTCAGAGCAGCGTCTGAGGGGAAGTCTTATTACGAAGATATTACGAATGATATTACGAAGGCAACATTCAGGCCTTACAGTATAATCACGTGGAAAGGAACTGAAATTAGCGCTGAGATTTAACTAAAATCCTTGCTGCCGTATTCATAACTGGTCTCTTAAGCTTCATCTACTTCAAGTGGTGAATTTTAATACGTGTTCTTAATCAGAGAATTGAAATTTCAATTTATGATAACATTCTAAAGATATGTTAATCTCTCGATTATGGTTACGTGAATATCAGAAAGGCTATAGTTAAAATGGGTAATGTTTATTGTCTGTCTTAGACAATGAAGGAAAAAGTGCAGGAGGATTTTTTTCGGAATTTTATTTTTATTATAGACATTTAGTTGATGGATGTTTTAGTGGTAAGACGAAGCAATAGAACGACCTTATCAATGAGAAATAAATGTTTTTTTTCTGAATCTGATTTTGTTCTCCTAGAGGTAAATTCATTCTTTCCTTTTATCTTTGTAACTCTTCTGATATAGTCTGCGGAATTTCAAAATCCCTTCTTCCTATTTATTACATAAACATAATTCGGTACAGAGTATAAAGTGGTCACGTGAATATTTCAAGATATAAAGTCATATTGCGCATTTGTGTGAGTGTTTATGCATACACATACACATATACATTATCTGTCTATATATATTATGTATGTATGTGAAAATGTGAACATATAGATGAGTTTGCAGAGCATGATAAAGGACAGAAAGAAATGATCGATAACATGAAACAAACAGAATCGTGAAAATAATTTTTATTTTTTAGTAAATAATTTCTGATGCTTTAGCAGGCGATCAACAAATAAATACATTTCATAGAAAAATTATATGTCTATCCTTGGTAAGGTCGCTGGCAGCAGTAGTACTTGTTGGTATAATTGCTCTTGCACCAGTACTTGCACGTGTTGTATCCGAGCACGGGTCTTTGGTCGTAGAAGCTGTAACCAGGCACAAGACCAGGGTAATGAGCGGTGTTGAAGGATCCGGCGCCGTGGATGCCAGAGCCTACGAGTCCTACGCCATGAACACTACCTCCGTGGACACCCCCGAGGACACCGCTGTGAACTCCACCAAGAACACCTCCGTGGACGCCTCCGTGGACACCGCCGAGCAGCCCACTGCCGTGGACAACAGGTCGGTGCCCGCCAATGCCATACGTACTGTGTCCAGCAACTGCTGCTATGAGGCACAGAGCCACGAGTAGGGAGGTCACTGCCACGTTACGAGCCATGCTGAAGATAAAAATTAATGTTAATTTTAGATTATATATGATTTGGTCTGAAAAGATTTATAACCATACCATCGCACCTACTCTGATTTGACATTTGATAAATGAATGTACATATTAGAGAAGTGACTTACTTCAGCTGGAAGCTGCACTCTGAACATTCATTCACGGTGCCTCCTTATATACGTTGTCGCATCGCCTGCCCGCTCTCGCCCAGGGAAGTCCAGGCGAGAGCGAGTTGTTGCCAACGTTCATTTTTTTCATTAAAATGAACGTATTTCGTAAGTTATCGTTCATATCGAAAAAATCATTATCATGTTCCATTTAAAAAAAAGCGTTTTTGTAAACATTTTATAATAAACAATTGAATGTGGGAAGAATTGGCAACCTTTGATGACGTCAACAAGGATT